CTCTGACTTGGCTGCTCCTAGTTTCTCTCCTCACTACTCTTGATCTCCGGGGACTAGCGGCATATGTTACGATCACTTCTTTTTCATCTTATCTTTTCCTTATCTTGTCTTATCTTTTATCTTTTGTCTTATCTTCTATCTCCCTTATCCTATATCTTGTCTTATCTTGTCACCTGACCTATTATTTATGCTTACTGATACAACATGCGCTTTTCATTTACTTATATTAAACACAGCAGTCTCACAACACATATACAGCATGACGATCGAGCTTTCATTACTTACACATTGCTTTACTTATGTTCTACTCATGTTTACCACTAACCCAGGGCGTTGGGCATTAGTAGGGCGGAGGGTTGTTTACTTGTATATAAGCTGTAGTTACTTGCTATATTTCCTTAGCTTTGATTTCGTCTATTCTACCTGGTTTAGCCCAGAACTTTGCTTGCCTCTCTTATCGCTCCGCCATCTGAGATTTTCTTGAGTGTGACGCCTGGTGACATCCGTTACTAGAACCAGTCGCTGACAGCATAACGGCGGTGTTGTTAATAACTTCACTACTGTCCCACTCGACCTTCCGCTCTTAGACACCTGTGGCCTCTGGCACGGTTACATGGTGTACATGAACTTAACAGAGGATCCAAACAGCTGAGGGAAAGGAAACATGCGAAATATGATCTAAGTAGTATGAAGTCACATGTGAACGAAATGAATTGGCTTGAGAAAGGAAAGTACTTCCAACAACACGCAACTTCACGCTCAACATTTTATCAAATACAACGACTCTAAACATAAGAAATAATGCTAATTCAGGGCATTTGCAGTGCACTTCAAAGCCATCTTTCAATATATCATGTGTAGAAGATGACTTCAACCTCAATACTCAATGTTTGAATTTTTGATTGCAATGAACCACAAAGATTTCAAGCTTTGAGCGACAAGACCCAGTCAAGACCCAAATTCAAGATCCCAAGTTATTTGTGATTGATTATGTAATTTCATGATGCACAGCTACGTTACCATTACTTGTTCTTGCATACTGGTAGTGTATTTCTTGTATTAGTCGTTTGTTATGTTCATGTACTTACATAGTTGAAATGCCTATGCTTTTTCTCAATTATGTCTTGGGGAGGAACAGAAAGAAAAGACCTGGTGGATTCGATTGGAACGCGCGGCGCAGCATTGAAGCCCCGCTTCGAAAATTTGGGCCTACTGCTCATTTGAGCTTTGGGTCATGTTACGGATTATGTGTTACATTCCAAAACTTTGCCCCGCAGCATCAATTGCCCATAATCAAACACTGTTTAATAGAACTGCATGCCTCTCTAAGAATAAATAAAGAGAGATACTATAGTGGTGTTTGGCAATTTTGGAACCAAAACAAACAGACCTCAACATGACCAAAAGGTGCCTGCACAAAACGATCCAAATGCAATAGACCTTGCAAGCAAGGTGACAGGAGCACCGAGGTCGGCTTACAATCTAGAGTTAGACTTCATGTGTTACAAGCATGCATTGTGTAAAAAGTCAGAGCATAGAGTAAGGAGAGTCAAAAAGATACAAAGAAAATCTGAAACTGTAAATATTACAAAGCGTGGAAAATTGCACGGTTCTAATAGATGTACTCTGAAAAGTAAGGAAAGTGATATTCAAACAAATAGGCAGAACAGTCAAGGCGTCCGTGAAGAGAGGTGTCTCATCAACAACTCATACCTACAGGCTAGCGTCAGGAGTGCGAATACTAAGGTAAAAGGAACGACGCACGTTAACATGGTGACTGCGCTGTTTGGTACAGTTCGTAAGAGATTGATGGATAATCCTTTATACAGACTCGTCCAGCCCTCCTTACGAATAAGCTTCTTTGTGGTGTGTATTACTCCTCGCCCAGTATGACGTCTTATCATTCCGTCTGATGATAAATCGTCCGCGAGAGGACGACGTTGCGTCTGTAAACGTGTTCGAATGACTTCATGAGGGTAGGTAGTGACTGAAGCAGTCATCTTGGCAAAAGCAGAGCAAAGAAGAATGGTGCGGCTGGTCAGAGGTTCCTCGGAGTCACCTTCTTTTGAGACCAAATTCAGGACAGAATGCAAAAGATTGCGAGGAAACAAAACGTACGTGCCCAGATCTTAAGTTGCTCGTAAAGTGGAAATTGTACTGCTACATGAGCGATGCCTAGGAGACTTGGTAAGAGTCCTCGGTAGAAGGCGCGAATGCCTTCGCTGCGATATATAGTGAGTGCGGCATCGAGAGTATGTCGATAGCGCACTTCGTCCCGGGATTGCGTCTGTAGATCGAATATGAGATAAGAATCGAACAAATGAAAGCCGACGTACCATAAACCGTGTTTTGATGACCCAAAGCGGATTTGTACATATAGTACTGCATGCTCCGGCTGTCATTGCTGAGAGGATATGTAGTGACCAAGGATGTTCGCGCATGGCAGGTTGATAGCCCTTGACCTGAGCGGCAGGGTATATCCAATTCTTAGATTTGGAGTTCACACCTAGAGGTGCTTCACCGAAAGCAGACTTAATACCATCATAGACGGCGAAATATATGGCCCAAGTTGGAAGATATCCTAGGATTGTTGGTCCCAGACCACGATAGAAACCTCTCAACCCATCATACTTTGCGATTGTTTTGATTGTTCCTTCAAAGCTTAATGAACAAAGAACGTCAAAACTCAACACAAAAGAAGTGCGACTCACCGGCGATACCCTCATAACCAACCTGACCTTGGACGAACCTCTGAGCCTGAAGTTTCGTCTTGACAACATCAAGAGGACAAGTCGCTACACTTGCAACAAAGCCCCCGCCCGCGCCAGCTGGATAGAACTTGTGTGGTAAGAAAAAAAATGTTAATGAGAGCACACGAACGAGTTACTCACCGATCATGCTGTTTGCAGTCCATTTGGTCTTGCCAGACTGCATAGCTTCGCCCCGCAGATGCGCGGGGTCCTGGCGTTGCTTCTTGGTCGGTCGTTTTGAAGAGACTAGGTCGTGGAGCTCGTTGGACAGTCACTGGTGCAGCTTATGAGAAATCGCTTCCGAAGTTATCCGGCCAAGCTCCGGGCTCCTCGGAAGACATCGGCAGAACTGAAACTCCAAAGAAATCCTCTTCGATTCCCGTTGATTTCTCTTTCAGGTTTTTTGTCGGCCGAGTGTAAAGAGGCTAGGCGCTGCGCAATTACTAGAAGCATATAGACCTTCGAAGCTTCTGAATTGTATAGTACAGGATACTAGAGAGTATCATGTTGAGTTATCTTATGTGAGTCCTTGCCAATGATCTCCATTATCCACAGGTGAATCAATAGAGCTCTTCATCAACAGTTCTCAACGTCCGTCGCCATCCCGCCAAAATCGCGCCCTCGACTCCACTATTCAAGTCACGGACAAAGTATACCTGGTCAGTACTCTCACATGCGACCTGACTCTTGTGAGTCAAACTTGAAGCAAAGTTGGGAACAACGGGGAAGTTACATTGGAGAGCAAATGACATAGAAACATCTTGTTGACCACTCTGGTAAACTGGACTAAGAATTCTTCTTCCTCCCCTCCTCAGCAAAATAATATGAACTCGTCGTTGCAACTCATGTATGGTACAGGTAAATCCACCGCCACTACTATTCATCCCTCCTCCTTACACATCGATTCATACAAACAACATCTCAGATTTTATTGCAAGTGAATCTCTCCATTTAAAACCTCGTATGCCATCCAACTCTAGCCCCAACAGTTTGATTACTCAAGTATCCATAAGCCCGATACTCGACGTAATTGAGGGTTTCAAGGTGATCCCGTTAATCACTCAGGCAAAGTGACCGCAAAATGACTGTCAATTTGGGTCACTGGATTAGTTGTTGGTACATAACTGCAATGAGCAAATCCTCTTCTATGCCTTTTTTGATCTCGCGTTCAGCCAATATGACCCACTCATATTTCGCAATACTAGTCTTAGACATCTCGATACCATAACCCTCAAGAGGATTTGTCGGTACGTTACACCTTCCCTTCAAGTTGATGGAGCAGGGCGTAATAAAATGCACATGCAGGTGGTCAACGAATTCGAGGACGTTACGTTCCATGGTTCCCGAGATAGTGATTTAGTCAATCAAGCTAGAGGAATTATAGAGGAGTGAAAATCAGCGAGCCAAAATTTTGCATGAGTATATAGTGAATGTCTACTGACCTCAGATGAACAACATACTCGCACAGACCAACACCTTCTGCATGAGCACAGGCAGGAACGCCGAATATAAAAACCATGCCACGAGGTAGTGTCAATATATGTTCAACAGCCAAACATAATCCATAGGTCGAGAGGAGCAACAGAATGGAACTCACTTAGCAGACATCAACAACACACTGATGACCTCACTGACGCCCGCCAACCTACATGAATTTGGCATACATCGATAGCTTCGGTTTGTAACAACTGTTTGAAAATCATCCTATTGTGCACGTGTTCACCTGTAGCGACACCAATTCCGTGTGGTTTCAAAGCTTTTCGGATAACTGCATGACCAGGGATCCGGATTCCTTAAGCTTTTTGTGAGTCAAGGTGGCCGCTGCTTTTCCGGGAAAGAGTAAATAATCCGCAATGGATTCGAAGTGGTTCTATGTCTTGAATTCATCAGCTTCTTTAGGCTCCTTTGCAGTAATTAACACATATACTATTCAGTTACAGAAATCCACTGACTGGCATTGTGAAATGCAAATATTGTTCAGAGTGAGCCACCTGAGCAAGACATGCACAAGGAGCTACCTGTGTGCACTTCCTTCCTCAGTAGTAGCTCTATCGGTTCCAGGTGGTGTGAATTCGGGAAGGCTCGGCCACATCATGGGGATGACGACTGTAAAGGTTGTTGTATCTGATCAGGAAAGGATATTTATTTGTATGTAGTCAAGAAAACATGATTACGACCCATGAAGGTGGGTGAAGACCAGCACTATGTTGAAGCAAGTGACAAAAAGGAGGGAAAAAGGTGAAAACAAAGCGTCACCTGTGCGATTCGAACACACGCGGGCAAAGCCCAACCGCTGACGTCAACACTGGCTGAGAAATCCCGTGCGAAAACTAGCAGGCGATCCCGTTAACCTCTCCGGCAAAGTGACCTGAAACACGGCTTGTGATGTCCCAGTAATTACCTAACATAATCTAGAACAAAGAAACCAACATTCTTGCTGTGGAAGTTGTTTGAACTCTTTTAGTTGCTTAGAAATTACCATTCCAGCTAATGGGCATAAGGCTGAGTCTGAGGTCACTCAGAATGTATCTCTGTGGAACCAGTGTTGTGCTTGAGCAAAAGACAGACCTTGCTGCGGCAAGCCCTGGACAAGCCAGACGTACAATCTCCTTCAAACGCAGGGCACTCATTCAATAAGAGGGTACATAAATATTTTGGCAGTAGTATGAACAAAGAGCTGAAGGGTGGAAAGATGAGTAGGCATAACATTTCACCAATCGAGAGCGAAGTTGCAGCGCATCATAACGCTGCATTGTCCAGATAGATCCCATGTCCACAAATCGTTCCTTCCATATCTTCATCTCTGTCCACCGCTTTTGCATGTAGAGAAGCAGACATCGTGGTCCAAGAAGAGAAGTCAACATCGAAAAGGAAAGAACAGAACTGGACCCTGACTTGGTGCGTCATTTTTGGGGATTCCATAAAGTGACCCGAAAGAGAGGCCTCCGTGTTTGGTGCTACACCGTTCGGCAGAGAAAATGAAGCATCAATCAGATTCGGATATCGCGATTGGAGTGGTGCAGAGCAAGGAAACTGGACTTGCGAAAACCTGCACCCAATGGTGTGCAACATTTTGATTTGGTTCAAAAGTTAAGTTGACTTCCTTGCCGGAGACTCCAAGAGCGATCGTCCATCACGGTGAGGGGTTTCAAAAACCGATGGCGAAAGACACAGGAACGCGGAACTCGATGTGAAGTGTACATGGCATCCCACGATTGCAGTTCCCCTGCACCGCAGGCAAGGGAGATGAGATTCGGGCGACAGGTGATGTAGGACAATAAAGCATCGCCTGGTAACTGAGCAGAAGTATTGGGCGAAAGCCATACATGCTTTACTCGAAGCGCCAAAGTCGGATTCTTCTGAATCCACATTATGAAAGGCCAAACCTGGTTTTTTTTGAGTGATACGGATGGGAAGAAAAGGTACACATTCGTCTCGGACAGGTTTCCACGTCGCTCTGCAAGTCAGCAGGAGGGAAAGATAGGTGGATTGTGACTGAGAACCCGCTAGACACAGTATATTGAAAGCAAGTTCGATGGGAAGATCGCAGCTGATCTTCCCGGAATCGCTTAGCACCACCCATCTTTTTAGCTTGACCATTCCGAACGGTCAAGCCTGATGTTGTAAGTGTAAAGGATCTCAGTTGATAGGACATTGTCGGAACCGTCTGTCCCTTCTGATTGAGCATCCTTGTGCGCATTCCGTGAAATACTCAGAGAATCTAGTTACACGTGACGTCAGAATCGCTTTCGTCAGCTTTCTCCGTAGCCTTCAACTGAGCACTCAGCTTGCTGAGCTTCGTCTTCGTCTCCGCAGTACTTATCTACATCTTTCTTGCATGACTTCCTTCATCATCAAATCTCAGGTTGATCGCCCGCAGCACTCATGGAAAAAAGATTCCAACTGCGCGTTTTGTCGCATAATCAATAACGAATCCCCATCGAACCGTGTATACGAGAACGACAAAGTGGTTGCGTTCCTAGGTCATTTCGTCACATCATATATGGGAAACTTGGACAGGAAGGCTGACATTCTGCTCTCATGAACACTCGCTGTCATCTGCCTACGTACGAGAAGACATAATGCCATTGAGGAAAGGGCATACCCTCGTCGTACCAAAAGTACACTATTCTAGGCTGTCAGATCTTCCTTCTGAATACGCCGCCGCAGTTGGTGAAGCTGTCTCCAAGGTAGCTTATGCGCTTACTCAAGGTTCGAGTTCGTGTCATTCCGTACGGTGTTTTGAAATGTATATGATGCACTAGCACTAGGAAATACCGCACTTAACGTTGTATGCAATCAAGAGTATGCACAAGCAGTGCCTCATGTAAGAGATAGTTCTTGTAAATCGTTTCTGAGCCGGATTTGATCAACTGAGTACATTCTAGGTCCATTATCATATCATACCAGCCCCGAATTATAACGCTTCCTCATCGCCTGCCATAGCTGAAGTATCGAACAACAAAGGACCGCCTTTAACTAGAAGACAGATGCACCAGATGGAATTTGAAGGACGGGAAGAGCTAGACGATGAGGATGCTATGTCGTTAGCTAAATCAATCCGCGCACGATTATAAATTTTGTCATAAATCTGACAAAATCTAGATCTCTCTGGTTTATATACCTTTCCAAAAAAAAAGCTACTCTATAGCTGAGCAAGTGTCAGGAGTTTAAGGATGTAGAGTCGTGATCATAAGCAGCAGAATGCTCTCCATACGGAATGTTGTCTGCCATGACGCTTTTGTCCTCCATCGTTTTGGATCAAGTGGCAACTTTTGACGCGATATTTGCATGAAATTACACGTAGGAGTGGCGAGATAACGATGAGGAAACGGATTCCGATAGAAGGTATGTGCGTCGTATACCTTTCCAGCTGTATCAAGCGTTTGATAGCTTTGATTCACAAAGTTCAAGGCCCCAGCAGAGCGCCCCAAGATAGCCCAGGATCTAAACTCTCCGACTCGCGTCTATATACTATTTTGTGAGTGGATCCATGGTCGTTACAATCTATCTTAAAAAAATATAATGGCCTATGCACGCCGTTCTATGCCTACTTATACTTCCATCTGTCCTTTCACGGACAAAGTTTATCTGCTATTTCCTCTAATAACTTCTTCACTTCTTTTTTACTGACTCCATTCTCTCCGCACCCTCCCTTCGCCAGTTTTCCCTTGAGAGTTGATTTCGCCTGAAGCACCTCAAGGAGAGATGTCATCTGGGATTGATAGAAGGGAGAAAGCCGCAGGAGGCAACCAAGGCAAGCAGTTAAACGATGCACTGTAACATGAACAATACGATGTGCAGACCAAATTCATGAGCGGATGAAAAAATGAGGAGACACAAATCATACTAACCAACATCCTCGTTGACTTTCTCCCTATCGATAGCCTCCACCACCGCACTCACCAGTTCTACTTCCCAATCCTCATCTTCAATGTCACTCTTCCCACTTCCACCACCATTTTTCACAGCATCCACTCTTCCTTTCTGTAAAAATACCGCAGCATTGAACACCAAGCTTGCTGCAGCAGTTCTCACACTGGCGTCTTCGTGCAACAAAGTTGAAACCAGTAACGCCGTCATTGAAATTTTGACTTGGCCTAGAAGGAGCTGCGGTGCGAGGACTGGACTGGAAAAGGTATTTGAAAGGAGACGCAGCAGAGTTAGGAGATATGCACGAGGTGCACTAGCTACGGAGGAAGTCACTTTGGATAAGAATAAGTGGATGGGCGTGGTGTCGGGAGTGGATTGCTGAGCAGCACACCATATTGCGACACTGCTGTCCAATAATGCTAAGCGCCACATATCTACTAGAGGAAAGAGTGATTCCAGCGGAAGTGCTTGTACCAGTGTAGACGTGGTCTTTGCCCAGGATGCCAGGAGAATGGGACTTGCTGACGAAGGAGGTGTATTTGAGCGAGATTTGAGGTACGGTAATACTGTATTGAATAGGACCTGTTTTATCTCAGTCTGGCTTTGAGTAACATTCGGAGGCCACTGCGTAGAAGTAACAAAGGACATTAGTTTGTTCGCGGCGGTGTCTAGCGCGGGTGCTTGAGTGAATAAGATGGGGTTGAGCGACAAGGCCTGCATGGCTGGAAGCGATAGGGAATTGTGAGGATGGGCTATACAATAACATGTCAGCTTTTTCGAATAATCCGAATGAATTGGAGTTTTCCGCACGCGGGAAAGCTTGGAATAGAAGCAAGTCTATTTGGGATCGAAGCTCGTTGGCATCAGCACCTTTCATCTCAGATATCTAAAAGGAACAAGGATAATCAGCAATGCACGCGACGCAAAAAGCTGCAAACATGCCTTCTTTCCATCTAAGAAGAACATGAATGTTGGCATGACTCTAACACTCCATTCGGCTCCCAGTGCTTTCCCGGGGGGAGTAGAGAGATCTATCTTTGCGAAGGCAGCACCCGCTCCACTGACGGTTTTGACACCCTTTTCATGAGCGAGTTGCTCGTATACAGGAGCAATCACTCGGCAAGGAGGGCATGTTATCATATCGGAGAAATTTACCACCACGGCTTTGTGCGTCCGTAATAAACTCTGGAGAGAAGCAGAATTGGTTATTTGATGTAATGGGGCTACCAAGGATTCTGTAGCCTGTAGAGGAGGGGCGGATGAAGGTAGCATGCCTTGCTGAGCCTGAGCGGCAACAGCCTGGAGGATGGAGGCCGCCAACTCAGGATTAGGAGCTGCCATTGAGGTTGGAGCAGCGTTAGTCGGGAGAGGTGGTTGCATAGTTCCAGGACGCCTATACATAGCGTCTATTGTCGGTCGTAGAGCGGCACCAAAAGGAGTAGAAAGAAAGTCAGATGGAAGATCTGAATTGAAGTAGATGAGAAATCAGAGTGAGTCGAGATAGTGCCTCTGAGAAGAAGCCCTGCCTTTGATGAAATCAGGTATAGATCCTCCCGTTAGAAAAGCAGCACAGTCATTGGTAAAGGAATTACAGTTGAATTCTGGGTCAAAGCATCCATAAAGAGCATCTTGAGATCATTTAGTTATTCAAACTGACCTAGGAGGTGATACTGGGCAAAAGATCAGTAAAACCTGGGAATAGAGTGACAATGAGTTCACCTTATCAGCTGTATAATGCTCCCTCATCTCTTCTAAATATTCATTGAATGTTCCTTCATCTATTTCAGTTGTTCCGAGGTCGACAATGTGAAGAGGATTGCCATGCTAAGAACTTTCGATTGACTTGTGAAGAGAGCTTCGTGGGCTGAGCTTAACGTACATGGGATCGGCCTGGAGGAGTTATATCGATGCCTTGACCGTAGAATACTTCTTTTCCGAAAACCACGATGGACGTGTGCCTGTACAGTGATACGAGATGAGCTCCAATAAGGAGGG